AGAAACCTAGGTAGATGATATCAACCTTCCTCTTGTGATCAAGGATGCTTGTCCATCTGTTCACCTCAGTCAGCAGGTTGGTAATACGAGAGTAACCCTTCCTGAAACCATGCTGTTGGGGTGAGAAGAAATTTAAGGACAGTAAATAGTCATATATACCATCGCATATCAGGGACTCCATGATTTTTGAGGGTACAGAGAGAAGAGATACCGGTCGGTAACTTGAAGGTTCGCTGCGTCTACCTCCTTTGAAAATTGGTGTGATGTGAGCCAGCCTCCAATTTTCCGGTAGTTTTCCTCGACTTAGCGAGTGTGAGAACATCACGCTAAGCGGCGTTGCCAAAATTGAGGCCGCTTCTCTCAGTATGGAGGAATGGGCCATGTCCGGGCCAGGAGAAGTGTCTAATCTTGAGTGCTGCAGTTTCCGGAACACCAAGTCAGCGCTTAGGTTCACTTCGGAAAGTCCTGTGGAATTGCAAACGAAATTGTCATCAGTAAGGTTATTGTCGGCCGGTTGAAATGTCTGGGAGTAATGTTCAGCCAGAAGATTAGCGGCGTCGCCATCGTTGTTGGTCGGCCTGTTAAGACCTACCAGTTGGGAAGCTCTAGTTTTGGCTTGACGAAGAGAGGCTGCATAACAGAATAAGCTTTTAGGATTAGAGGCAAATTTGTCCATAAGCTTTGTCTGGTACTGAAGCCCATCTTCTTTTATAGCCTTCGTGCATATGTTCCTGATATAATTATATTGCCTGTACGCTCCGTCGTTATCAGTTCGTTCGTATTCCGCCCAACAGTGCCTTTTGCGGCTTAGCAGGCGAAGGGTACGGTTCTTGATTATTGTAGGTGGCTTGCAGCTTTTGGGAACTGTTTGAGGAACTGAATGGTTTGTAGCACGTAAGAGCGTGTGCAGTAAGAAGTCCCAATGACCGTCCACATCGAGTTGGGGGTGTACATCCCAAACCACATGTTGTAGATAGTCGTGTAGAGCTGGCACATTCAACCGTTTAAAATTCCAACGCAAGTTATTGGTGGGATATCTTAGCTTAGTTTCGCTGACAAAACTGAAGGCTATGACGGCATGATCGCTCTTTCCCAGGGGAGCCAAGATTGAGAGGTTGTCAACTAGAAATTCTTCGTTTGTGAGTACACAGGCTAAGTGCGATGGCGTCTGACTGTTCCTCCAACGAGTTGCCGACCTCACATTTTCGTACAATCCCAAGTCATCGATGAGGTTGAAGAACCGAGCTTCAATTGAGTTGTCGCCTCCAGTATACGTGTGTTCCGCGAAGTTGACTCTAGGGAAATTGAAGTCCCCTAGAATCAGGATGTGTGTGAAACCGAGACAAGTAGAGCGGGGTAGTCGTTCCAGCATACAACTATCGTACTCGATGTCGTCATTTGGCTCCCTGTTAATGAATCCAACAAGACACCTCGAAGTACTGGACAATCTTACAGAGCACCATATGGATTCCTCAAGATTGTTCAACTCGAGGTTATGAACTTGATGCACCTCCAAGCAAGAACGTATGTAAACAGCTACTCCGCCCCCATATCCTGATTTTCTGTCATTGTGGAACAAAGACATCCCAGGTAATGCTAACTCATGGTCCGAGAACTGAGAAGATATTCAGGTTTCAGATATTCCCATCAGATGGGCCTTATTAGCATTGCTAAGTTCACGTAGTTCATCCAATTTGTTTGGCAGAATCGCGGCATTCATATATAAGCAGTTTATGCTTTCAATTTGGAACGCATGAGCTTCTTCCTGTTTGTCTGTATGAGCCTTACGTGAATGGACAGGTAGCCCACCTATATGAGGTTTGCCGAGGTGGTAGGCCCTGTCCTTTACACGTTTTTTTATCGTCTAGACAGTCCACAAGTGGAATGATCAGCTCCAACTTGCCTTTGTGTTTGGTCCTATCTTCGTACGGCCTATCCTGGTGCATGTGGATTCCAGGTGGCAGTCGACGTCTGTTGGCACGAAATGCTTCCAGAGTTGCAGCCGCCATATGTGAAGATGGGAAGGTCAACTTCATTAGACGGGGTCTAGAATCACCATCCTTCGTGGCTAGTCTCGTCACATGCTGAGTCAGTATGTTTTTGAGCCTCAAGGACTGTTTGATGAATTTCCATTCCCTGATGTCAGTCTTTGATTGAGTAGGGTCCGTATTTTCCGGTATACCTTGCACGATTATATTCCTCCCGCGGAAAAACTGATCGCGAGTTTCTTTGGGGATGTTCCGGACGAGATCGCACTCAGAATACGGTATGTCAGGTAGTATTCTTACATTCCCATCTGACTTCAGTAAATGACTCGCTAGTAAGACATCCTCTACGTCGGTAGCATTCCTAAGTGTTACACAAACTAGCCCCGGGTGATTTTGATGCTTAGATTCCTTTCCCCGAGTGAGCCGTGTGACTGTCAAAGGCTCTATTCTTGGAAGTCCAAGTTTCTTGTTCAATTCTCCCCAGAGCTTCCTATCATTTTTGTCCTGCAAACTGAGAGGAAGGTCAGGGTTGTCTTTGAAGTTCATGACTATGATAGAGTCACCACGAACCGTTATTGTCGTCCCAGGTTTTTCAGTAAGTTCAGGTTTAGCACCTTGTTGTTTGAGTGTCGAAGCACGTTTATGAATCCTAGGCTCATTGATGACCGGACGGACAATCTTGGGGGTAAACTGTGCGACCAGATCACCAGTTGACTTCCGTTCAACAGCTAGGATGTTCAACTTAGACTGTGACGCTTGGCCCCTTTTAGCTCTTTTGACATGGGTCCAATCACCTACAGAGTTTTTGGGAACCACTGTCACATTCAAAGACCTTGAGCTGTGAGACCCGAGTTTGCTGATGGAGTCGAGTACTGTCGTCGTAATCATGGTGCTGAGTTTCAGCGTGTCGTCATTAATGCTGTTGAATGCTCCGTCGTTGGTAGACCTGTCGACATCCCTGTTCTCGTTTTCAATGCGCTCTCTCATTTGTCTACCCATTTTTTGACAGTCTTTTCCCAAGTTTACCGACAACTTGCTCTGCAGACCTGTCAGTAGAACAATGATATTACTCAGCAAGACTTCAGCATCTGTACCACATTCCCACTTATGATCCGACTTGCTGAGTCTGTTGTAAGCAGTTGCTGTGAGATCTGTGGACGCTTCGTGGAACCAACCTTTGCAGTTGTCGCACTGCATGCCAGATGTAACAGGAAAACGGCATCCAGGTCGTTTGCATGAATTTTTCATGACTGTATTGACGTAAACTGTGTTGTAGATGCTAGCAAAAGACTAAGACCTTAAAAAATACACTAAAAAGTACACTGAAAACGGACAAAAATGGATAGAACGAATGAGATAAACTGAACTAGTCTTTACGTGAAAAACTGAAAAAAGAACCGAATAGTAAGCTGAGGAAAAACCACAGTTAACTATTAAATTGGGTGAAACTCAAAAAAGAGTAATCTTCTGAACGTATAGCTCAGGATAGATTCTTCTGGTCAGAAATGGTACTTATGTTGCGTAAGAACACAGCTAAAGTTTGATAAATGCTAATCACGTTAGGACTGAACTTCCCGTTCGAAACAAAAACAATACTCTTACTGGATACTTTAATTGAAATAAATTCAATTAAAGTGTAAATAGTAGTCCTGACACGTAATAAACGATAAAAACAATAGAATTTACTCAGCAATGAAAAATACCACTGTCCTTTTAATTAGTGCTACTTGATATTAATTGAATGTTTTCTTTATTTTCAAGTTAATGAGTAGTTATTATTAAGATAATGCCAAAAAGTGATTTATTTTGAAATTCAGACACATATCTAACGGGACGAACAGTTTGGAATTTCTACTCAGCGTAGTTTGAATAAGTCAATTACGTTATATACACCCTCCAACCAGATGCGCTCAGTTTGTATGGTTTGTTTTTGTGATGCATTCGGGACCTTGCTCTTCATAATTTCTTTAGTTGCTTCTAGATAACCTCGATTTCGCGTTTGTCCATTCTTGGCCGCTATTTCATCTATTATTACACTTATCTTATTAAAAAGCTCTTCGGTTCATTGGCTCATCTCCATTTTTCTTTCAGTTATCCCACTGACGCTTATCCAACAAAAAGGCACCTTCAGGGTAAATGCAAGTCTATCACTGCCCTAACTTTCCGTGCTTTTCATAGATGATATTACACAGGAAAACCCAAAGTTGCTGTTAACACTAAACGGTTGTTTGCGTACAAATGGCACAATCCCGTAGAGACAAAAAGTTGACTGGAGCGGACACGTTTGAAGTATGGATTATTATAACGTTATGTAATTGTCCACTTTTAGAGTTTGTCTGAAGTTTTCCGCTGCTTTATATGTATGGAGAAGCTTAATAACGCTCGTTTGTGTCCACACTGTTCGAAGTTGTGTTGCTACAAGTGTATAAGAGTAAGCCCTTTTTCAATAACGCCTGAATCTGTAGAAATGGATCACAGAAACACGGTCTCAGTGCCCTCATTGCCGGTAATTTTGTGGTCATTACGTTTTTTCAAAGTGTTTTGGTGTTTGTGTAAGGGTTTTCAATTCTTTAACTTTGATAAAAATTTCGCCGAGTTTGAGCCAGCCAGCTACAACGTAGGACCAGGCACATATATGCATCGGTTCAAGTTGCCACACCTCATTAACACAACAAGATGGACACCGGATTCATAAAAGTAGTTAATTCAGAGGTGGTAATATATAAAAGAAAGATTGAATATAAGGATATAGTACAGGAAGAAAGAATTAGTTCGTAGAAGGAAAGGTATAAAGCAATTTCTATCTCACAGTTTAAGGGAAGATAAAGAATGTATACACCGACACCATTGTGATCGATTCCCAGCCATGTCGCACAGTGTCCAACCATTGGTTACTGTAGGTGGCTATGCTATCTGTCACCAATGTGCATTATTTGATAATGATCATGACAGCATTCATTTCGTCCATTAGATGATGTTTATAATGAACATGTAAAACAGATAAAGAATGAAATGGATCAATTTAAACGTAGACATTTAGAATTAATATCATTACTTCAAGATGTTGTAAGTTGGTGTTTTTTCGTTCTTCTGTTACATTGTTTTTGTGTGTGTTGCTTTTTTCATCATAAAACTTCGGTCAAGTTGTTATTACTGTTTTCTAAGAACACTATCAATAGTTGTTAGTAGTTAAGTCAAGCATGTAAAAAATGAACAGTCAATACATCTTGTGCTATCATCACAAAGTACTTGCAATTTCAAATGCATAGTACTTCAGCAAATTCTAAGGTTCCACTTGTCGTTGGTGAACATTTTAAACGGTCATCTAGTAATCTCTGGTTTTCAATAATCCGCCACCTATTAGTGTCCTAAATTATCTTCAAATTAAATGATAGATTAAAATTATATGAAAAGTGAAATTAGAATATCAAAACTAAACTAAACAATTAACAATAGCCGAACAATAGCAGAGAAAATCAATACACACCGAATACAGAGCATCAAACAAGAAAGTCAAGAGGAATATTATAGCCGAAAAGCAGAAATGTGTTGGAGACCTAGCAACGACAACGGGAAAAGCTGCAAGAGAAGGAAATATGAAACAACTATGTGATACGACGAAGGAACTAGCAGGGAACTACAGTAAATAAGAGAGACCAATCAAAGATAAAGGAGACAAGCCAATCACTGTCATTCGAGAACAGAGGAAAGGGTGGCGTGAGGACGGTCCACGGGTGAACTCGAGGAAGCTGTAAGAAGCTCAGAAAGAGCCAAAGATATTCCATCCAATCACCTTTTAGAAGAATTCTAGAATGCCTACATGTAGCTTCCCGATTGGACAATGCTAATAAACCCCTGTATATGGATTGGAGGACTGTAATTATGATCTCATTTTTACTAAAAACTATAAATATCTAAGTTTTGTATTATAATTGACACCGTCTGGAATAACATTCCTTTCACTAGTCTTCAGTCTTCTCATTGCGATTTGGAAGGGTTCTAGCGTTCAAGTGCTCAAGTTATACGCGTCATATCAAGAACATAAGCTCTAGATATAACAGGTGGATAGGACACTATAAAGAATTCTTGAATATACTGGACCCACCGGACATCAAAGCAATAGACACAAACTTTCCTATAGTTGGCTCTCCACCAACGATCGAAGAAATCAAGAACGCCGGTCATCAGACAAATCAAGAGTGGGAAAGCAGCAGGACCTGACAATATACCAACCGAAGCACCGAAGTCAGAAATAGAAGTAACTGCAAGCACGTCTCATGTTCTATTCAGGAAGATTTGGGAGAAAGAATAAGTGCAGACGGACTGGAAAGAAGGATGCCTCATCAAGATACCAAAGAAAGGAAATCTGAACAGATATGAAGACTACAGAGGCATCACCCTATTATAGGTATCAGGAAAAGTTCTCAACAGAGTATTAATAAACCAGGTGAAAAATTCAGTAGATGTCCAACTTCGAGATCAACAGGCGGGATTCCATAAGGATCGGTTGTGCACAGACGAAATCGTGACACTCAGGATCATCGTTGAACAATCAGTTGAATAGCCAGTAAGAGTAAAGGATATTCGTAGGCTACTAGTATTCGATCATAGGTGTCTTCAAACCATTGCTCATATATCCTGGGACCACCGAGTAAGTAATGAAGCTGTTAGGAAACGGGTATTAAGTAAGGATGGCAAATCGGTTGATGAAGTAGTGAAACTTCATCAGTTGAGATGGTATGTGTTACGTATGCTCAACCGCCGACTGCCTCTACGTGCGATGTTTTATGGTGCAGGAGCAGATTGGAAGAAAGCTATGGGCAGCCAGGCTCAAACTTGGCACAAATCCATGAAATCACTGACAAGTGCACTGAGCCATGTTGTTAGGTGCAGACTACCCAGTTGGGATCCGCAAGACGATAGCAACCGATAGCTAGAGACCTTGAATGACATGGCTCAAAATCGTTTGCAATAGCGTAGATGCATCCACTCTTTGTGTTCTCCCAAATTCTAATCTTCTGAATTATTCATGTCCCATTTTTGCTCTTTCCAAATTTATTTAACTGGATAATACTCTTTGAATAACATCTTCAAACCCTAATCTTTCCGATTACTGCTTATACTTTTACTACCTCTACCACTACGAGATTTGAATCGACAATTGTATTTGTGTGCTAATGTGTTATGGCAACTGATGTACGTACGTACGAAGTTCTACGTTGTTACTGACTGACTGAATCACTATACATCAACTTCCTTGACTATGAGAAAACATTTGATAGCCTAGGTAGGAGAACCTTATGGAACCTTCTTCGACACTATGGTGTACCTGAGAAGATCGTCATCATACGGAATTCATACGACGGACTACACTGCTAAGTCGTGCATGGATGACAGCTGAGAAATGTATTCCAAGTGAGGACATGAGTCAGGCAGGGCTGCTTACTCTCCCCTCTTCTTTTTCTTCTGGTGATTCACTGGATTATGAAGACCTCCACATCTGAGGGGAAGCACGGAATACAATGAACAGATTGGATGCAACTAAACGATTTGGACTTTGCAGATGACACAGCCAGTCTAGACCACACACACTAACAGATGCAGGTCAAGAAAAACAGTGTACCATAAGTCTCTACATCAGTAGGCCTCAACATACACAAGGGAAAAAGCAAACTCCTCAAATACAACACAGAGAACACCAAACCAACCACACTTGATGGAGAAACTCTAGAAGAGGTGGAAACATTCATGTATCTGTGAAGCACCATCGATTAACAAGCGGCATCTGATGCAGGTGTGAAGGCAAGCATTGACAAAGGGTGACATTTCTGCAGTTGAAAAACATGGAACCCGAGACAACTGTCAGCCAACATCAAAGATAAGATCTTCAATACGAACATCAAGACAGTTCAACTGTACGGAGATGAAACTTCGAGAACTACCACAACAATCATCAAAAAGGTACAAGTATTTATGAACAATTGTCTACGCAAGATACTCAATGTTCGTTGGTTGGATACCATCAGCAACAGTCTACTGTGGGAAAGAAGCCAGCTTTCAGCCGAAGAGGAAAGTAGGAAAAGACGTTGGAAGTGGATAGGATACACACTTAGGAAACCATTAAACTGCATCATGAAGCAAGCGCTAACTTGGAATCCTGAAGGTAAACGGAAAAGAAGAAGGCCAAAGAACAGACTACGTTGGGAATTGGAAGCAGAAATGAAAAGGACGAATAACAGCTGGAAAGGATTGCCGAGGACGGAGTTACATGGAGAATCCTGATCGTGGACTCGTGCACCCCCACTAGGGTTGACAGACGTATGTAAGTTGAATACAGTTTGCATAAACAAAGTATATTATTCCAGAGATCAAATAAAATGTCGAAACCTTCCTAGTAATGGTAAAAATCTGTATGTGGTGGAAAGATATCCAAATGATTTCTTTTCGTGTTTAACAAGCTTGTACATGATGAACGAGAAAGTCTTTTAGATCTTAAACTATTGATAATATAACCACCTTAGTAACCATATTTGTATAGATTTAAACATGTTACGTCAAAAATCTCCAATTCATAGTTGACTTTTTATCGTTTCTTCAAAACTAATTTTGAAATACTTGTACAACTTGTTGTTTGTCTATTAGATATTTTTTAGATTGTGACGACAACCATGCCTTGATAAACCCAGGCTCCTAGATAATCGTCAGTTCGTCTTCCTACTGTCATAATCAGTCGTCAAAACTCGCTAATTATCTCAGCAAAATCCTGAGCAATAGCTTAAACAAATTACGTTATTACTTTTGTTAGTACGGATAGAATAATACGGAGAATCTTCATACATTTTTACTATATAATCATTTAGCGACTAAATTGTTATATTTTCATATTCCCCTTGTCGTAAGCTTCCCCTGTACTCATTAACTACTGTTTTATTTTTTTACCGTTCCTTCATTATTCCTGATTAGTTACTCACCTTTTGCCTTTGTTCTATCACTTGGCTTGGTTGTGCATGAATTATTATTTCTGGTTTGCCGGACAGTGACGTTTGTTAATTTATGTACATAAACCCATGAGTGTCTGAAATATAACGATGAAAGGTTTTGAGCTCGTCGTTTTCTTACTTTGGACTCAATACCGGACTGGAGGAAAGGATGCATCCTGCACCAATAAGCGTTGAGAATTATCTTGGTTGCTGCTGAAAGCTGGTTGATGTCGGTCACTGTAATTGATCAAAGCTAAGGTCGTCGGTCTAAAGCGGAAAGCATACTTGACTTAGCGTATTACAAACCGGATTCGTATTGGTGGAATCATATCTAGTGATTCAATTAGGGTCATATAAAAGACTCGAGAAAATAAAAATTTTGTTATGTTTGCATAATTCTTCGCTTAAGTACTGCCAGGTCCGTAGTGATTTCTATTGTCATTTCTTCCATTTAGTACTTGGTAATTCATCTAGGGATATGTGAGTGATTCTGTTTCCGTAACCTAACTGCTCTATGTGCTAATAATCGATATCTCAAAGTGGAATTCACCTATTTTTAGCCCAACAATCAGAACATTAAGATTACCTCAATATCTTTTATTATTCGAACTCAAAAACATCACTATACATATAAATAATCGTTTTGACAGTCTTAACATTAAACTGAATATTACATCTGTTGGTCAATTGACTGTGATCTGTCGACAACGATTAACAAAGAATTCTAGAACGAACAATTGTTTTCAATAACTTCGTCATCAGGCTTAATAGTTATAAGTACATAATTATTGTACTGCAATGGCCAAAATAAGCCCTTTTAGTTAGTTAAACAATGATACGTTGAAAAAATAAAATAAACTTTAGAAGACCAAAGGAGGTATGTTCAACCTCCATGTTTACTTTGGATAACGATTAGATAATGGCATACCTGGATCAGACACTGTATACCCCTGCGCTGGAACCGAGTCACGAAGTGGGCGTCAACTTTGGGATGCAGTTAGGTCCAGCTGACGAGTCCCAAATGGGACGAAACGCGCGTACTGGATTCCACTGCTAGCCAACATTTTTCTTTGCTTATAACGTTCGTGCTTAACTACCTCCATGTTCATTTATGCTTTACCCTGTTCTTAATTTACACATTTATCTTACTCAATTCACATAAATTTGTTTTCATAATTCACCTGGTAACACCTCTCTAACTACACCTTTTTATTCACACGCAATTATTATTATTATTAGTCATTATTATTATTGTTAGCGTGAACTGTACACTTTCATACACTGAGTTAGTTACACTAAACAACCCTTGCTTATTTTGACATGAAGTTCCACCTGGAATAGGTAATAATTTAAGAAAGGCTACTAGCAGCCAAACTAACATGACGCCAGTCCTACAAGTCATTGACTGTTAGTCTGTGCAGTGTGCGAAATTGTAAACTATCATACTAAGTTTGCAATCAATGGTTGAAGGTTAAGTTGACCTCAATGATGCTGTCACATTCATTCTTTATCTTCTAAATTTTAGCTTACTGTTATTTTGCACTTTTCATCCCTCCAGATTAATTAGCTTTTTTGAACGATGTTCTTTGTGTTTAGTTTCTCACTGAACTACACATTGTTCTTCCTCCTCTTCCACTTTTAGTATGATAACTTCCTCCTCTTGTTTGCTATATATTAGGTATGGCAACTTGGGTTGATAAGAATTACTGGGTCCTATTTAACCTATGATTTATTGACTTGCCAGCTTGGTCATTTTCTTTCTCTTTTTATAATAATTATTTTTCGAGTTCCCTAGATCGAATAGTTTTGCTCCTTTTTAATTTTATTTTGATAATAATACTGATTATTGTTATTGCAATAGGAGAAGAATGTACAGGCTGTAAAACAAGCCAAAGAAGAGCGTGTTCGAGAATTACGCAATGCAGTTGAATTAATGGTAGCGCGTTTAGATTCACAACTAAAATCGAAACTAGTTACTCTAATGAGTCAACGTAGTCAATTATTTCAAGTGAGTTAAATTTGTTTTTCAAATTACACTCAACAAACATAAAATCAGTCCTCTCTGTTAATGTTGTTCATGACTGGTTGTCTATTCAGATTTTCTCACTTTCATGTGTCTTTACATTCTCGTCGACTTTTCTGTCCGGTTAACCTCTTAGTCTTTAGTCTACTCACTTTTTCTATATGGATTGGTAAATTGTCCATTCGCTTACCGATTGGGAGTTGATTTGTATTACATACATCTGGAAATTTCCCTGTTCAAACTTTTAACATTTTCAATAGAATTTATGTTCTTAAATTTCTGCGTACATCGATAAAACTAATAACATATTTTATCGTGTGGGGCTGCTAGTCAATGTTAATGTACGTTTGAACGAGATCACTCACTTCGTCCAGTGTAACGTTTTTTGCCTTTGGCTCAATTCCTTTTTATAGATGACAACTCACTAGTCTACCTTTGATTTTATTATTTTCAGTTTGTCTTAAAACAAATTGAAGTCATAGTGTTGGCTTATTAGGGATGTTGATTCTTAAAGGTCTCCTGTAGTGTTCGACAGTTTCTGATTCGAGTTCTCGGAGAACCAGTGTTTATTCATGAGGAATTAATATAAACTGAAATAATCTATTTCGTACCCTCTTGATTTTCAATAATTTTTTTCAACTAGAAGAAAATACCACTTTCTTAGCTTGTCATATATAGATATATATATGGATATCATGTACATTTTCTCGATTGCTTTCGAAAATTTTCATTTTGTTTTATTTATTAGGAAATTGAATCACTTGAAAATCTTTTGCATGATGTTCAATATGCGGTAGATGTTGCGAAACCGTCTGAAATGGTAGAACGATCATCTGAAATTTTAGCACTGCTTAGTGATGTACATTGTAAACCTATGGCTTCGTTTGTTAGTGCGCCTGTACCAGCTGACTTTGTAAGGTGATTAAATTAGTGTATTGTTTTTAAATTGTATTGGTTGTTATCTATCTCATCTAATCAGATCCAATAATAGTTATGCGCTATCGGACGTTAATTATTGCAGCATTAAACTTGTGAGTAAAGTGTTATTCACTTATAAAATTTGTTACGAATGACAGTGTATCATGATTTAAATAAATTAACAACGTAGCGGTCACTTAGTCATACTCAGCACACAACCTGTTATCCCTACCTAATACCCCTGTTCTAACCTCAGGATTGGTTACTGGTAGTATTACCATATGCAAGCAGATCTTCGAAGGTATCTATGACCAAGTATCAGTAATACAAGAATAGCCCTCCTTTGTAAATGCCACATTTCACGGTCATAGTGTAGAACACAGTGAAATTCTGAGCAACAAACTTGACCTTGTGGTGGTAAATGGACATCTCTCTTGGAACAGCAGTGACGTAATTTGTCAGAAACCAACCCTGCTTCCTGAATTTGTGCCAAGATTTCATCAGACACCAACCCACTAGGGGAAAGTGAGTCGGCAAAATGCTTCAAAGTATTAGTTTAGAATGTAGTATGCGATCCAGCAAATCTCAGAGCTAACTAGTGTATACTTTTATAGTTATGATTGGATCAGGATTGAAGACAGCACAGCGAACACGCTCGATTGTATTCAAATTAGAACAGCACTGTTAGATTTTGATAAAATAATTTTTTTCATGTGAAACACTACAAGCGGTCGGCCCGCTTAACTATTTCATTGCCTATAATTAATGGAAGCGTTAATAAAGATCAGTCTTGCAACAAAGTTTTACATTTAAAGGGAGAGAAACGCATCTCGAACATGATTGCATTGTTGCTCAAGGCGATCAGAAGACTGTATTTTCTCAGCATCTTCGTCAAATAGGGTTGTGTCATCTGTATATTTCACGTCAGCAAGAGAATCTCCTGGTGGGAGTCGAATTCAGGCGAACCTAGTGTTATCTCAATAAGAATGTTTTTGACAAAGTTGAATGAGAATAAAGTAAGCTGACAACCCCGTGCTTGATAAAATCAAGTGGTGTTTTTATGGGATTTGAATTTTCTAGGTTATGATTCAAAAAGGTTTAAAACACCATAATATAATGAAACCTCTGGTCAATAGCTTCTCTAGTAAAGCTTTCAATCAATTTCTCAAAGGTGAATCATGAAGTTAACAAACAACTGGACTGTTCTAATACTCAAACATCGTGTATCAACAATTTTCATACTGTAGTATCACTATAAGTGTTTTTTTTATTAATACTAGACTGCGGCATACATTATGAGTTAAAAAGTGGTTTGATAGAAAACGTATTTAAATTATGTGGTTCTTAAAAGTTTTACTAACTGTTTTCTTAATGGGTAACTCACTATCATAGTTTTTAGTCAATTATTATTGTCTCCAAATGATTGCGCAACGTTTTTACAAGTAGACGAATCTCCCGAGACCGATTTAGTTTCCATAACAAGTAACTAAGTCTTTGAAAGGGATGATCTATGGCTTATTCAGTGACTTGATATATCGATGTAAGATAATAAGTGAATGTACTAAGAATCTCCTTTCAACAAGCCAATAGCGTGTACTGCGATACTCACATCTTGAAAAGATATTAACTCTAGTTCAGACTATTTATTAATGGAAAGTAGTATAGCGTCAAACACTAAAAAAGACGCCACGCCATAGGGTAATAAGTTAATTTAATTACTTGAAGTAACCTTATCCTAATTATTTTCTGTAGCTCTTCACGATAATTTCAAACGTTCCGAAAGTTTGTTTTTGAAGAAAGGCAAGAATTAGAATGACAAAGGTTACCAATAATAACCTTGTTCCACACCAAATCTTACCTCAATGTAAAATTCCAATACATATTTGGTTGTAAGCAGCTAATGAGAAACCACGAAATATAGTGAATTCATATTATTCTGCATCCATATTCGTTTTGGCTTTATTTAAATTCATAAAGGGAACTAATTGCATGGAGGTTTGTTTTTGGCTATCGTCCTATAAGTTAGGAAGCAATGCATTAGGTTGAATATCTTTGATATGTTTGTTCGCTTTGTTCTCTCTGTTCTTCTAATGTTTTTGTCTTTTTTCCATATCACTTATTTTTAGTGAAATTGTACCTCCTTATGAATCGAGTACATTCACACTTCAACCTTATTCCATTATGAAACAAAGAGCTGATCCTGTGTATAGTCAACCATTACATGTAGGTGGTTTAAGCTGGCGTCTTAAAGTTTATCCAGATGGGAATGGTGTTGTACGTGGTAATTATTTATCGGTGTTTTTAGAATTGTCTGCTGGATTATTAGAAGCATCCAAGTGAGTATTCCTCACTTTGATTCTTTGACTGTTTTATTACTCATGAGGACATACCACCGATTTTTTGAATGCAGCATTTTAAATGTTTGGTTTTATGTTAGCTACTTGACTAATATCACACTGTGTCCAGTAGTTTATATCGTTTTATTCTATCCATTGTTATCTCTAAAATTATCTTACTTGTTTTCATCTTTTCTTAGTTGTTTCTATATTTCTAGCGAGAAAACTGACCTCATCATTAGTCTAATACATACATGAATCACGTGACCTAAAAAATTACATCAAGAGTTCATTGACTATGATAATCAAACAACTGAGTAGTATTCCAGATCATTATTATTTATATTAGTGTTGTTTAATTAGGTTTGAAATTGATTCTCTGCGGAGAGGGATTGATTTTCCTTCATATATGCTGTTACGTGAAGTTTCTAAAGTTGTGTCAAGAAATTCCTTAAATAAAGTCTTAGTTACTGTTAAATGAAGTTCTTCTAGGTTTTCCATGGTGGTCTAGCCTCAGTTGACTCATGATTTCAACCATTAAAATTTCTATAATATCTACAAAACCCGTTCTGATACTTATCACTAGTGACTGGGTTCAAGACGTTTTTCCTGGAGTTCTAGTGAGAAACAGTGACCAGTGGAGTTCAACCAGGTCTGTTGTGAGATGGTAAGTCACTGAAGACAATGGTGGGTGTGTCGCTCAGTCTCGTGAATTAGTTGAATTCAGACATTAACACCACTGGATACCGTCTCAATGATCCAGAGGTTAGGCATTCGCGCGCGAGACCGAAAGGTCCTGGGTTCGAATCTTGCGAGGCAGAGTCGTGGATGCGCACTTCTGAGGAGTCCCACGATATGACGGGACGGCCTTCCAGTGCTTCCAGGTTTTCCATGGTGGCCTAGCTTCAAATGACTCGTGATCTCAACTATTAATATTAAAATTACTATAATATACACAAAACCCCTTCTGATATTAAATGAAACAAATTTTTATTGGTAACCTTGCAAAATAGTAAGATTTATGAATTTAAATTAGTAATTCACATAGAGAAACATGAATGTTCTTATTTAATGAAGCTTTTGTAGAAATAAATTACATTAATCATGAAGAGGTAATCCTCAGTATATGATTCTCTCCGACAATCCTAAAGCTTTAATAATTATAGCTATTAACTTCCATTATCTCCAAGTATCCACAAAGTTTTCGTCATTCATATGATGTATGGTTATTCTCACACTTAAGATTATCGTTCACGTTAAAACTCGAAAGCAACTCGCTTCACAAGCATAAATCACATATGGAAAATAACCAGAGTTGTAGCAAATCACATGTTAATTAAATAGAAGAATGTTGTATCTTAAAATGACATCACACTGGAAAACAAAACAAATACTACACTGAGTAATTATCACATTGAATTAAAAACGGAAGTAATGGTGAAAAAGAAGCCTCAATGGGTAAAAGAATGTAATTTTGTCTTCTCATCCTGTCATTCAATCACTATGAATCAATGGATTCCATGTAGTGGTATGAATCATTTGGATATACATGGAATCATTGAGCAGAATATGTATCCACTTCTTTTATAAAAATATGGTTATCACGCTACTGGCTAATTGAAAATCTTGATAGAACAACAGAAAACAGAGTTGATCTAAAAAATGTAATATATTTTTACTATATTAATTTTCTCTCTGCTTTATTTACAATTATCACTTTCTTTACTTTCACATAAAATGCCTTGACAAGTATAGAAGTTTCACAGGTTGAAATCATGTATCATTTGAAGCTAGACCACCATGGGGTGGTGTGGAAACATTGAACGGTCGTCCACGTCCTAGTACGGGACTCCTCAGCAGCACGCACCCCGCGGGATCCGAACCCAGGACCTAATGGTTTAGCGCGCGAGCACTCAACCACTAGACCACTTATCCGGCATCTAACCGCGGCAATGTCTAGCTCACTGAAGACAATGGTGTATGGTGGCGCAACTTCGTGGATTGGTTGAAGTTAGACATTAACACCGTTGGATGCTGTATAAGTGGTCGCGCGAGCACTCAACCATTAGGTCCTGGGTTCGGATCCCGCGGGGTGCGGGATCGTGGGTGCGTGCTGCTGAGGAGTCCCGTACTAGGACGAAACGGTCATCCAGTGCTTCCAGGTTTTCCATGGTGGTCTAGCTTCAATTGACTCATGATTTCAACCTGTGAAATTTCTAGAAATCTCCACAAAACCCATTCTGATAAGTATAGAAGTGACCAGATTGTTTAAAATGTACAGCTCAAATACATCAATTTTTTTCATATCAACTCCGTCTTCTCATTGTTTTATCAAAATTTATGAAACCGACTAATTGCTTTAAATTGATTAAACTAATCTTATTATAAAATCCGTAAACATAATCAAACTGTGTATAGGGTCAAGGTGATTTATCATAACATTTATGGTGCACTTTAAAGTAACAAGGTCAATCACGTGTACCGCAGGGGGGCTTTAGATTGTAAATTGTATGTGTGTGTGTGTGGATCTGTCCTGTATGCTGTACTTTACAATCGTTTACATGATTTTTATCGGATTCATTTTCTCCTTTTTCCACCCAGTTAGTTTTAACCAACACATAGCGGCTCAGCAGAACAACAATGAGTCATTGGGGTGATTTCAATCGATAAGTCTAGAAAAATATCGTTCAATGTGAAATTCAGACAAAGGTGATTAGCAATAACAGTAGTGATTGGTTAATAGTACTGTAAGATAAGTTCAGCCTTGATTTTTAGTCATAATAAAGAAAATCGATAATTTCATGAACACTATCAAATTCGTTAGTAGGTTAGGATGTGATCATTTTATTTAAATTTATTTGAACACATAAATATTGGTACAGTGGGCACCGAATACATATGCGCCACACAAGTCACTTGATTTTTATGTGGGCTGTGATACTGCCCATATACCCAGACCGAAACAGATGGTTTTCTCAGGGGGTCACATTCTAAGCCTTCGACTCAAAAGTCTGATCCATAAGGCAGTGGAGCAACGTCAGGAGTCGCAGTCCCGTGGTAGCCAGTGACCAACGATTGGCTCATATGCCATTTGTTCCCTCAGGATACTGGAGCCTATGTGCACCATTAGTTTGTAATCAAGGTTTTCCGACTTTCCTAGATGGATCCACGATATCCACCAACCCTGTTAAAGCACTGGACATTCACTTTTCGTCCTTTCAATTTCGTTAACAAACCCCCACCCCGACAAGGCCGTGAGTAGGAGCTTTCTGACAGTGGCTGTATACTCGTGGCCATGTGAGAGCATTTCTAGAGTGAGAGCTGACTCTCCCTACCCTCGGCTATACCTGGTCATTTGGGGGCCAAATAAAAAAATGTACTGTTTTTTTTTAACTAACCCATGTCGGAAGTTGCATGTAGTATGGTTGAACTCCTGACAACTATTTCAGTTAGGGGTTCAAGGTCTTAGATGAAATAAACGCGAAACTGATAATCCTCGAACATATACAATTCACTTTTCAATTGTCAAATATATATTTGTAACAGATTCTACTTTCTTTATGGCTGATTTAATTACTGAAAAACATTCATGTGGCTAAGAATGCCTTGTTGAAAGCATTAAGCTAGATAATTAACTGCTTGTTACTCGTTAGTAAATATGAGTTAGATAAATGTTTAAAAGTTGTTACACTGATAGTTGAAGAAGTTCTAGCCGTCATTTCCAACTAAACTGCTGACTGACTAATAACGTATTAGTTATGTAAATGGAAATTACTAATTCTGACTGTATACAGTGGTCTGTTGTGTACAACAACTATATAATTCCATAGTATCACAAAATGATTGTAAGAATTCTATTGATTTTCAGTAATTATATAGTTGATCTCAGTACGAATAGGGTAAATGACGAGTTTCTTTCAAACTTTTTAGTTTATTGATGAATTGGAGAACCAGTTGTGGAATTTGAATTAGATTGAGTTGTAAAATTAAAAACAAGACGTCGAAACTAAGAATTTATTGGAAGCTTGTGTTCGCGGAAGTATGAGACTATTCAGCGAAGGATTCTACCAATAATTTAAGAAACTAAATAGTAACAGCGATAATGAGATGAATAATTCAAACATACAAGATAACGAAACGTCTGACCTGATACAATGTCGTATTAACTTAAACGGTTCAAACGTGATTTTAGTACGATCAAGCTAACTTGAAGAAAATGAGTCATTTAAAACAAAAATAATGGAGTTATATATTTGAAAAAGAAACAAGGAAAATTTAAGAAATGGAACATGTGAAATTATTTGGTATGAAATCTGATTTTCTTGTCAGATTCAGAACATCTGGAATGTTTGGTCCACTTCAAATCAAAGGTCAATCAAATTATAGACTAATGCCAAGTGTTTGTATGATTCACCCTTAGCTTCACACTGATGTATACGATAACTGGGCTTGCGTAACTATTTAGTTCTCTGGGTGTTTACAACTTAACGGGTGTACTGCCTTTAAGCTAGATTATAACACCACCTCAGTGTGATTAAATACCTTCAATCTAGTAATCCCTTCGGTTGTCAGCAAGTTAACTTTTTGTAAAACTAAGCAGTTATTCTGGCTGATTCGAAAGCCAGGTTTTGTTCCTGGTTCGCGAGAATCATATGTAGAACTTTCCTACATTTGTTACTTGGAGCGTACTTGAGATTGCATTTCTCTCGGATCTCCAACTTCAAGACTTTGTTGTTTATGTTCTCAAGACTAATTAAAAGCTTTTTCTGTGAAACAGACCGATCCTCGAAACTTTGGATTGATCAAATGTTCGTCCTAACACAGCATATTTATGAAGAAATTAAACAAAATTAAAGATTTGAATAATTGTAATTCATGCCTTTTGTGTTGTAACGAAGGGGCAAAGATTCCTGGTTTTCCATAGTTTTGCTATTTTCGATCATTATAGGTCATGTTTAATAGGGTTAGTTAACCTGTAATTATCACAACAGACCTTCAGTAATCGAAATTAAATAATATAGAACTAACTGATAACTTCATTCAGTTTAGTTAAAAAACATTTACTGCAATGTTCAAATATATTCATAATTAACGCGTTAGATTCTGATATTTTTTTCTCATTTGAAGTTTGGGGAATTTTTTTCTTGTTTGCTAAAAGTTGAAGACTATCTAGATGTAACATACAAATTCTTTTGTGGATCGTGGCTAACTCGATTTTAGTTAGAGGGCAGTTGAAATGTTATTCCCGTCGTTTTAGTAGATCTTTGATTCATCTCTATCCCAACTGCCAGACTTCTTAATTATTAGTTTCCTTTAGTCCTCTCAATAATTGTCTACTGTGTAACATCACCGCTTCATTTCGTATCTTTTGTTCACGACAAATGTTTAATGTTTTCATCCACCCTACATCAAAACTACTTGAAAATCAAATATTAAACACTCATTGTTTTTATTGTTGCTTGTTCAACATACTAAGGATGATACCAAATTATCTTGAGATGAAAATTATCGTTTTGTCCAATCTAGTATATAACCCTTATTTTCCTTTCTTCATCCTATGCGTAGGGAACATTCAACAAAGATGCGTACAGACGCCTAATACTTTCATCCATTTTACACCGTGAATTATTCAATAATTATATTTATTGAAGAAATGCCGTTTATCCCACTGTTTTAAAATAAATCTTATAATTACTCTTCCTTTTAGATATGAATATCGTGTAGAAATGGTTCATCAACAATCTCGTGATCCTAGTCGCAATATTGTACGTGAATTCGCTTCACATTTTGAAGTTGGTGAATGTTGGGGTTATAATCGTTTCTTCCGTTTGGACTTATTAGTTAATGAAGGTTATTTAAATAGTGAAACAGACTCGATACTACTTAAATTCCAAGTAATTTGTGTATTTTTACTTTTGGTTTTACACTTTTTAATTGCTTACATTACTTTCCAGTTTATATGCAGAAGGTATCAACCCAATAAGTCCGTAACTAGACAACGGAGAACCATAAATGTCCTTCGACCTAAGTTGCTATATTTTAGCTTAGTGCAACGAGTTTAAAAATTAACACTACAAAAAACAAAGATGTTGAATTTATTAATTAATGTTTTTTTATTTGGCTAAATCTAACCTGTTCTAAATCTCCTTCCATGCCGGGTAGCATCGAATATTGATTTGATAAGTGTGTGACCTACATTGGCCATCTTAGTTCATGAAGTTACAGTCTCATCAGTTGATTTACAATCTGAAACTGTACTCCTTAACTCACTAATACTCAGTCGGTTCATCCAGTACTTCGGAAATAAATACTTACCATCTACACATCTACTTTCATTAACTGTCTCATAGGCATAACGTAAAACATACCGGACTACCACAAACTATACTCGTCCTTTGTTAGGTAGGTGAACATCTCTTCATTTTCACAGGTGGTGTGTGTTGACAAAACCCAAGGGACCCTTTTTATATTTATGCAAATATCACATCACTAAGCAACACCACATCTGGTCTGATGAGAACCAATAAGTACGATCAACAAATTTGTTCTTCGTAGGTAAATCGAGATTCGCGCGATATAATCCGCTCATTTTTGAAATTTTTTCCACTTCAACCACAAACATACATATATCAGCAGGGGTTTTGTGAAGATTATAGTATATATTTGGATAAATTTGAATAAGGATGTCTACGTAACAAAAAAGGTTATCTATTCATAAGATAAGTAAACAATTCAATACAATATCGTACGATAAATAAGTAACTTGAGTCGTAATCAGTAGCAAAAACGTGGGTGGAATAAACTAGAATATAGAAAAAAATAAGCAAAAACCCAATGGGAATGTGAAACTGTAATCAGTGTTTTGTAGTCATTGTAAAAATGTGGGAAAAATTTAGATATTTAGTTATTTAATTGAAATATTAGGATAAAAATTACTATTCAAGCGACGGTGAAAATTGAAGTTAGTCAGTCAGGTACAACGTGGGATCAAGCACATATATGCATCGGTTCAAGTTGCCACACCTCATTAGCACAACAAGATGGACACCGGATTCATAGAAGTAGTCACTTCAATGATAGTAATGTATAAAAGAAAGATTGAATATAAGGATATAGTACAGGAAGAAAGAATTAGTTCGTAGAAGGAAAGGTATAAAGCAATTTCTATCTCACAGTTTAAGGGAAGATAAAGAATGTATACACCGACACCATTGTGATCGATTCCCAGCCATGTCGCACAGTGTCCAACCATTGGTTACTGTAGTCGCGCGAACCCTAACCATGTAGTTTGGATCTGCCAACATGGCTTAGACTAGAAGTTAGTGACTTCCAAGACTGATGTCACGCTTTGGTTCGACTGCCTTATCTTTCTTCCAACCGTCTCCAACACTGGTCAGCCTTACGCGTGGTGGTAGTGTCCAGGCATACGTAACACGTGGCCCACCCATCTCAGTCGATAAAGATTCACAACCTCATCAACTGATCTACCATCACTCTCTAATACTCTGTGTCTAACCTCACTATTACTTACCCGGTGATCCCAGCAGATGCCAGAAATATTTCTAAGGTATCTTCTACTCTTAATTAATGGCCATGTTTCTCTGCCGTAAAGTAGAACGGAACGAACTGCTGCGCAGTATACTCGTCCTTTTATTGATAGACGGATATCTCGCCTTCACCATAGGCGACATTTCCTCAGTGAATAAGTGAACCTCCTGGTAGGAGACCAATCCCTGGAAATTCAATCTATGAGAGCGTTATTTCCAGCAGTTGGTCTATGATGAGACTGAACAAAAATGGAGATAGTGGACAACCTTGCCGGACACCACTTGAGGTTGCAAAATCAGATGACAGTTCGCCATAAGTTCTGACTCGACTTGTAGTGTTTGAATAAAGAGCCTTCACAAGGTTTATGTACTTCCGAGGTACAACTTTTAATGACACACTGCCACAGAACCTTGATCTACAGAATCAAATGCTGCAGTGGAATTAGTAGAAATCCATTTGTTTTTCGTGACCCTTTGGTTTAAATCGTTGATAGATGTTGCTGCTGTTTCCACAGCTGTTCGTATATCTATCCAAGCAACATCTGGTTTGGCCTCGTTTTCAGAACTACCTAAGTGTGACCTCAGTTGTTCCTGGAACCTACTTTTGGTTTTCTCGTCACCCAATTCAATCCTAATGGTTCTTTTTAGTGTGGCTTCTCTGCGTCCAGTGAGACGCAATCAGATGCATGCCCGTATTAGAGCATGGTCGGAGTCCAAGTAGGTATTCAACATCACATGCAGTTTACTTAATTGCAATGTAATTTTATCGAACTCGAGGAATATTTGTAGTGATTGTATAATTTGAATTTGGCTTTTATCACGAAATGGTGTCAGTTGGGAAATTATTTAGGATCATGGGGTACTAGGCAGCTATTTCATCTCAGTTTGTAACTTATAATCAGGAATAGAGCATCTGATGTTGAAACTCAGTGGTCTACAGGTAACGGACTCATCAGAAAGTTTGGAGTTCCTGTAACCAATACCTGACTCGATCGTAAGTATCCCCAACAAAGGAACTTAAGACGGATTGAAATAGCTATTCAGTCCTCTCTGTCTTTCAATGGTTCTCTAACTGAAGTAAGTTTATGTTGTAGGATGACGTGAAATTGAACGATATACATTAAATTCCCATCATAATTACTGTAATCGACTGGTCATAAAATTGTAAATTTATTTGTCTTTCATGTATAAAGCTTCCATAAAGTCATTGGTAGTGAAAGTTACCATTGATTATTATTGTTGTTGATAATTTTTAGCGATATAACTTCTTCCTTTAAAAAAAATTAGGTAAGAGCGCCAACTTACTTTCAAAAGTGTCGTGACCAAAATTGGCATATTTCACAACTTGAAGCGAATCAAGGCCATTGTTTTACGCAGTTAGCTGAATTAAAGGAACGTTTATCTATTGAAGTAGCCAGACAAACAAATATTATTTCTGTTGCTAATACTGCTACTGCTCCCTCTCCCAATACTGATATTTTTAATTCAACTGTTGTTACTACAACAAGTAGTACTTCTGTTATTTGTCTACAGTCAACAGATGCATTAAAACCTTCAAGTTGTCTCTCGGATCCCACTTCTTCTTCTGCAATTAGTCAGTCAACATATATTATGACAACTCCTTCTCCACTTCAGCTTCAGTCACCATTATCATTACTTACACAACCTATTAATGAAGAATTTACTGACAATTATACTAATGAGTCGAATAAATATGTAGCATCTGTTCCAGAAATGAAAAATCAAGATTGTATAAACATGGATCGAAATGATTGTACATCCCAATGTTGTTTTATAAACAATGAGAATAACACTTCTATTAGGGATCATTTAACAAATAGTGCAAATCATACACAGTCACTATGTGGTGTCAGTAATAATAATAATAATAATAATAATAATAATTTAACTAATGAAGAAGTTGATGATTGTTTAACTACGGTCAATATGTTGAACTCAAGAACTACCGATGTCAACAAGGAATACGATGAACAGGTAAGTTGTAGATGACATATATATCATATGTATAATAATGATTTTTAATATTTCAAGTCAAAGTAGTGTTGACATTATTCCATATAGTTTCTCACAAAGTCGATTAATTAAATTGTATATTTTGTTCTAAGGAGTTGGATGATATATTTAACATTTTAAACGAACGTTATCCTAAAATGAATTAATACATGTAAGACGTTTGATAATATGGATCAGAATCAGCCACAGTAATGCAGTTGCAATCACTCTTTGTTTACCATTAGTTCCTGGGTTTCAAAATTATTTCAATACGTTTTATTCTTCCAGAATCATATTCTGCCACTGCTTTTTTACACTACTAATTCTATTACTACTTCCGCTACCTTAATATTCTTCATAATTTCATCTCACTATGCGATACCGTGAGCTAATGCACATTTTTCGCAGGTTCTTACGTTCCTTACTTTACATGGACATTTAACTCTTACGGAGAACGTGATAACTAATGATCTAATAGTTTGTGTATTTGAATGATTACATGTACTGTTGGTCACGTAGTAGACTGTGTCAGTTAGCATATATTGGGATCCAACTTATATGTCAGTGACATTCAATACCCAACCAAATAGTTTATACTTACCAAGATGGTTCATATCTAGTTAGTGACTGTGATCTGATTTTTTATCTTCTTACAATTTACTTTTATGCTCAAAAGAGCTATGTATTAAGGTAGGTGGTTGGTGGAGATACGCAACAAATCTTGTTCACTGGAGTCAGCCTTATCAACTGACTTGCCAAATTTATCTAGTACCAGGCTTCTAACCTTATTGTTGGACACACAAGTGTTACTCTTTAGTGGAGCCATGCTTCGAATACACATCTTTTTAATGTGTGGGCATAACAACTGTAATGGTAAAGTGGGCTAGTCTAACGATCATAATAAAGCATTTTCATAATAAAACAATTTTTCTTTTGGTTTTCACCTTCAAAAATTTCTTCTTAAATTACATTTTAGCTCAATGAATTACAAGCGAATTCAATTGCCCAGTTATCTATGGACATTTCAGAGCCATTATTAAATTTAGTTTTGACCGCAAACCAGCAAGAACAACCTGTAATAAACTCGTCGATTTTATCAAGTTTGGATATCAGTCAATTAACTGCTTCATATAGTAATGAGGATAATAATCATAACAACAATAATGTCAATAGTGAGGAAGATGTCTTGTTTATTGATTCAAGTAAATATTTTAATACTAGTGAACAGTTAATGCCTCATGAGGATGTTGATATAGAATCTACTCATTTCAGTGAACCAATCTCTTATGGTGGTGATGATGAAGGGGAATATGGTGATGGCGACTCTGAGAACAACAATAACAATGATGAAGGTGGTGTTGACGAGGTAGAAAAAATAGACGATGATGATGACGAAGTGGATGGAGATGATGGTGGTGATGTTGGTGAAGATGATGATGTAGAACAAACGGATAATGATGAAGATAATGTTGGTGGTAGACAACAAAATTCCATGTCGAAATTTCACAACTATACAAAATCGAATAATGATATGGATAATAGTTTAATTGATGATAATGACGACGTTGAACAAATTAGACAAACTATACATGATTATGACACAGTATCACAAACGTCGGAGATTCTCTCGGATCATGACAGCTTGCAATCGAGTATTGATTCAAATAAATTATTGTTGTTAAAAAGTAAATTTATGAATAAACCGAAAAATTCATTAAGTATTATAGATTCAATTAAGGCATTGAAAAGTCAAAAGTCAACTATTGCTGCGACTACAACAATTACTACTCCGAACACTAATAATGGTGTTATACCAATGATAGAATATGAGTGTAATCTTATAACGGATGTTGGTAGTGATATAAACTCAAGTTATGATGATTATGAATATCATGCTAGAAATAGGAATACAATTGAGGAGCTTTTAAAACTGCCTGGTCTACGATCTACCAATGGTAGTATTAGTAATAATAGTAATAACATCAGTAATAAACGAAAGGTAGACCAAACCTCACGTCATCCATTATGGTTTAAATTATCTACAAAGGATAAACCAAAATTACAGTTCAGTGAGGCATCAACGAGTCGGTTCAATAATGACAATAAATTACAATGCAATTTCAAAGAACAAAAACCATTTTCTATTATTCCAACACAGATGATAGACAACACACATAATACTAGCAGTAATAATAATTGCAATAACAATGAACTAGATATGAACTCTTCACCTAGATCAATTTTTAGCGAAAAGTTGAATGGATGTCAATCCTCTTCAAATTATCAACCGGGAATAGTTAGTAAATCAAATTGGGAAAGAAAAACCAAAGATCCCAATATTTGCAGGTAGGTCGTCCCCTTATTGTACCTAATTATGTGTATATCAGTAGTTCTACATAATTTAGGACTTGACACAGAAGAGTATATCGGTCCCTGTTTGTCACAATTCAATATCGGTCATTAACATAACGAAATCTCCATAAAATATTCAAAAATGAATATTTGAGCGAACAATTGTTTTCAGTAACTTCATCATCAGGCTCTACAGTTATAAGTCCATCATTATATTTTACAAAGGCCAAAATAAGGCATGTATTAATGAATTTAACAATGTTATATGTTAAAAAATGGTAAACGTTTGCATCTGTTATGATATAAATACTTCAGTGTCCAGTCACAATCAGTAGAATAGTATTATAGCAGAAATAAAAATGCAAAAAAATTGTGTGAATAAAATGCATAGTAGGAGAATTTCATCTTGTTAATTGAGTTAATAATAATAATAATAATAATAATAATAATAATAATAATAATAATAATAATAATAATAATATGTAATAAGGGGGTTGTTATCAAGGTAATTACGACAAACGAATTGGGAATAATGGATGTGAAGATTAAGATAGAGGTAATCAATTAATAATAATAGTAATAGTGATAATAAGGGAAAAAAGGAAGGCAGGAAGGGGTAAGAGGTTTATAATATTCAGTCTAGGCAATCGGTGATCCAGTCGTAGGCCAAGATAAACGTAGAAGTTGGATATACCTTTTCTGGACACATAAGTTTAGTTCTCTGGAGTTGGTCCAGATGGCTTCGGCTATGTAGAGTAACCGTAATCTAGCACCTTGAGGTAGATATTTTGGAATTTGATATAAAACAGAGAAAGCTTCCTCTATTTTTATATGTTCACTATCTACCAAGTGAGAAAGGATAGTGTTGTTGAGCGATTTAGTGACTCCTTTTCCCAACCATGCTGATACATGTTCATGAACACGCAAGGAAAAAGCCCTCTGAGTATGGCTTATGTAACTGGCTCCACAGGAACAGTTGAATCGGTATACACACACGGAGGAGCCCATGTTCGGTGACCCATCCTTGATTAGTTGTGCGAGTACTGGTTTAGTTGAGAAAATTATATGTAACTTGGCGGCGTGAAACATCCCCTCAACAGATCTTTTGAGTCGACGTGTTAAAATCTCACCCACCATGTCCCCTTTAATGTCCAGTCTCATATATGGAGTTGTTTTATTGACTGATTGATTGACTAATTGATTACAACTTGTGAATCGTCTCATTTTTTTTGAATTTATCAACGAAATGAACAATTTACCGAGACAACCGTAAATTTTAGTGATTTACTGGAAAGAATAAAGTTTCAACCTTAGCTGATTCCGAAACCTCCTTTGGTGATCATTTCCGTATAACCAAAAGAAACGTAATACAATATGGACATGGATGATTGAATTATGCCTTCCTTAACCATTTGTTAATCCCATGGACTATATTTTCATATTCTCATTTAAAAGCCTGTTTGGTGAACCGACATCATATTCATCTTCATACTGGTAATTAATTAAATATCTATACTATGCTGTATAAACGTCAATGTGAAATTTAGGGCTGATGGAGTAGGTTGAAATGAAAAGCTATCGACAGTCAATGATGTGGGGGCAGTAAGGAGGCCTTAATTTCATAAGTCATTAATGATCTATATATTGAGACAATCTACATGTGATGTTATTGGTCAATTATTGTACGGTCGTCGAGTTAATTCAATTCGAAGAGGTCATCTTTGATGATTAAAATTGTTTAATGGTCTTTAGTTTACAATGAAGCTGTTTTTATAGATGCAAATTAACTTCCAAAATATGACATTCCCTAAGCGATTTTAAATCATTTTCTTATAAACTAGTTTCTATACCTTTACGTAAGAAACATGCTTCTCATTATTAAATTTTCTTTTTTTATTGTTGACTTCATTTCAGTGAGATTACTTTAATTCATCCTAAGTTATGTGCTTCATCATCGTCATCCTTGTCATCCTCACATTCGTCATCGTATGGAAAAACAATATCAGAAAGTTATTTATTGAGGAATAAGAACTTTAAAAGTTTATCCAATCGTCGTTTAACTGATTTTAGTCATCACTATCATCATGAACATTCTCAACGATCTCAGTGTAGTAAGTTAAAACCTTTACCTCGATATCATAAAGACAATATGAGACCATTGTCATTGGTAACAACTGATCAAGTTCCATCCTGTAGTAATCATACATCATCTTATGTATCTTCTAAATGTAAACAATCTAATCAATTAAGTGGAAATGGTCTACAAAAAGAACTATTAACTAATAGGTCTATTACAATCAACTGTAATAAGAATGAAAACAGTAATCAATTGAGAAAAAACAACAACAATGCTAGTTCATCATTGTCACCATCGATAACAGCAGTCAAAACAACCATGAAATGCTCTGATCATTTGCAACCTGATAAATTGTACCATTTCTCATCAATATGTAATGATCCGACTAATCTGATGGTGAAGACGACTACGAAAATAAAACCGTCAGGACAGATTACAAAAAATGCAATTCAGCATTTAGAAAATGATATTGATGAAAAAACAATGACAGGTAGGTCTATCGGTGATCATTTACACTAATTCGATTCGTGTTTGTTTCCTCTTTTACGATTCATTCTGTTGCTATTCACTCGAATCAGAGTATAGAGATACATCGATCCACATACTTTAGTCCAGAAGTGAGAATGACATATATATATATATATATATATATATATATATATATATATATATATATATATATATATACCTCTACTTCCCAATTGTTACTCAGAGCACCTAGTGTCTCTGAATTTGGAAGAAAACAGTATTACTGGTGGTTTTGATATTAGTACCACCTCTTACAACTAAGCTTTGCTTTGGTTGATTATAATCGATTACTACACTCCCCAACTTCTATTTTCTTTCCCATACCATTTCATCAGTCAGCCAGTCAAATGCGACGAAGAACCTGATACGTGTTTACATCGATTTAAGTTGCCATACCCCATTAGCTCAGCGAGATGATATTGTTAGCGTAACCCCATAGCATAAGTAGTAATATGGTGTGTGCTACCGATGTCGACAGATGTAAGTAGTATGTACCATCATCGAAAGTGAAATATCTAGCGGTAGAAGGAAAGAGAACGAGAATGGGAAGTGATTGGTGTGGAAACGAAAGAACGATGAAGTCTGAGACGATTGATTGAAATTTTGAAGAAGGGACAGTTAAGTGTGAGATAATTGATTGACAGTTTGCAAATGAAGTATTTACTTTATGGTTCTCAGATTTTACTTAGATATTCTTTAATTTTTGTGTTCAAATACATTCGATTGTCCCCACTTGTGTTCTCAATCACCACAGTAATAGCATTGGTAACAACGGGAAAGATTATGCATCGAAGATACGGCGCATAGGTGTTTCCCGCAACTTATCGGGGTACCACTTAAGACTTAACCCACTCATTTTCCTGTTTGTCTCTCTTATGACTCAAGAACCTTGATTGCTCAGGCAAAACTTCATCACTGATCTCCATAAGAGTGCTTCAACTTTTGCCTCCATAGTAAAATTTCTGAATTCGAGCTTTTTTAATTTACTCGAGCTCAACTATGGTAGTATGCAATGTCGCCTTTCGGTTTAGAAAGTGTTAACGGGTCATCTCACTGAACTCCTAAGACTATCATCACTGGCTAGATCCATTTCTCAATCTGTCCATAAAATATGCAGCGCTTGCTTTGTGAACACTTGTAAACTCCTCTGTACTTCAACAGAGAACGTGGCAAGTTCATATCCGAAGGTATTACTTGTTCAGGTTTTACAAATATCTACAGTTATACTTTTAACGCCCTGTTTGTCCGTTCCACTAGTCCCTTACAATCAGGGTGATACTTCTGTGTCTCTTGTCGACATTCATTCAAGTTAAGTCCCTTCACTGAAGTATAACTGTACTTGTGCTCACTTGATTGAAGCACTACAACACGTATATAGTTTAGTCCTGGTTGCACACATAGTACCCCCCATCTACCAATACTAGTTGGCTCGGTAACTCACATAAACGTCTTTTGTCTAATTTGCTTCTTACTTTGATCTTCCTCGATCCTCATTCCTGGTTTGGAATGGCTCGGTTCAAAAGTCCTTGTACAGTCACTTCTCTCTACTCAGTCCTGCTTGCGAAAGAGAAGAACCAGTCAGTTAGACACAACGTAGGACTAGGCACATATATTTATCGGTCCAAGTTGCCACACCTCATCAGCATAACAAGATGAACATCAAATTCATAGAAGCAGTTACTTCAATGGTAGTAATATCTGTGTATAAAAAATCAGTTCATAGAAAGAAAGGTATAAAGCAGTTTTAATCTCACGGTTTAAGGAAAGACAAAGAGTGTATACACCTAAGGCATTGTGATCGACTCTGAACCATGTCACACAGAACAACCATCGACATCTTTACAAGAAGGACAATTTCCATGTAACAACTAACCGGTGAGATAAAATTCTCCATTTTTATTCAAACATATGGGTTGACGAACTTATATAAAGCCAAATTCCTGAAATCACTCTTGACATCGTGCTATTCGTCTTTCATGGATCTCTAGCCGTGGATCCACTGGATCACCTGTTGATCTGTACTCAATGTGATATGTTGACTTTGAAGATACGGTCTGTATTCCCCTACAAATATAACAACAGTTAACATTTCGATTATGTGTTTCTTAGCATTAGGCCCAATTCGAGATGAGACAACATTAATCTCTGATTTGCCAATATTAATGTTTAAAATTTCTTTGTCAGAGTCAGGTCATTTGTCGGGCAGAGCTAGTACAGAAGCTGAACAAAGCTTGTCTTTCAGATAATTGAACGCGTCTTGGCAAATTTCAGACCAAGCAAATGGGACATGTTTTGCTGCCACGTGAGTCGGCGAGTTTGCTATATCCAAAGCAAATAAATTGGGATGAGGGAGAGATTGGCTTATGCATAACTTATTGAGTACATTTTTAAAAACTTATGCATCTGACAACAAGACAATCTCTGTGTGAATCTTAACTAAACCACCGAACCCTCTGTGTCAAAACAGTAATACTTATCTAAAGATTATCTTTCCACATTTCTTTCAACAATCGAATTCCCTTCAGTAGATGAACTTGGATGAATTAAGTTAATCACACTGAACAATAGATACATTTGTCATAAATTGGTTGCTTAGCTTATCATTTTCACTATCCTTATCTGAGTATATTTTCAATCATTTGTATAGTCTTTGGGAAACTACTCTATTATAAAACAAATGAGATCTATTACAACTTTTAAATGCTGTTTCATGTCAGATTGATTAACGTTGCTATGTTTGGGATTGAACGTAAGTTTAATAAATTCATTTTACTATGAAAGACGACTTAAAATGACAATAAATGATGTCATATCTGAAAAGAAAAGTATTTCAACATCTAGATTGCACTAATATAAATCAATCACATTTAGAGATGAACGAAACTTACGTTTAATTGCTACACATTTTCTCCGTGAAAATCATTGTAACTAGTAGTTCGACAGCGTTCAAACATGTAGTTGGGTGATTGAAATGTTAACACTTTATTTATTAAGTTACCACGCTGTAATAAATTTCGTAAATTTAAGTCACATTAACATAAATATCAAATCAAGGTTTATTTACTTGCGTTGTTAAGATAGTAATGAAATCCATTCTGGAATCGTAACTGATAAGAAAGGATAAATAAATAATATATTTGTAATAATGATAAAAAAGGATTTTTAAACAAGCGCCTATTTACCTCTGGTTCTTACCTTCATTTTTCAATTGCTTTAAATTTCAATCATTCTTACAATTATCAGAATGTGTTTTGTGGAGATTTTTAGAAATTTTCACAGATTGAACTCATGGTCTAGCTTCAACTGACTCATGAGTTCATTCTTACAATGTTACTAATGCATTTTGATTGCTTAAATACTTCAATATTGTCTCGTAAGAAATAAAATCAAATAATCTAGTTACAATAAAATGTAACATTTCACAAGCGAATGTCAGTTAAATGCATTTCAACATTCTCATCCATATCTTAAACATGGATCTGTTTCCGCTTTGTATTATATTTCTCTGAATCATGTTATTTTTTTATTTAGGAGATCGTGATGTAAGTGAACATGTATTGAGTAATCGACGTTTTTGGGAGGATTCCAATCTTAAGACTAATAATGATGATAACAGTGATAATAGTAACAAAAGTAATAATAATTATGAGAAATTGTTTAATTCATCATCATGTTCATTAGTAAATAACCATGAAAATGGAGTATTTGTTAATCAACCGAAACACGTATGCAATTCACCACGCACTGTCACAGTAAAATCCAAATCTGCTATGAGAATGATGAACACAATCCCTCAAAATAATAAAACATGTCATCCACTGACTAGTAATGGAGATTCAACACCAAGTAAATCTATATTATCAGGTGAAGTTGATTCTCGTGATATGTGCATTAAACGCTCTGCTGAAACTAAACACATTCATGATAATTTAGAATGTGACAAATTGAATTATGAACCAATGTACAATTGTAAACCAAATTTGTGTCATGTATCGTTGGAACATCAGAGTGGAGCCATAAATTCACTTTTAAAGTAGGTTCACCATTTTTTATTACTTTCCCTTTCCCCTCCCATGCTTTTTATCAGTTGAATTTTGTTTGCATGAAGGTTCCCACCTCTTCAAGAGCTTCGCCATCAAGTACGATTCAGTTGATGTTCGCTGTATCATATTTTAGGGTCTCACTTTTTCCTTTGTGAATATATAGACCTATTTCTACACTGACTGTCTTCACCTGCATTTGCTGCTGTATATGGAATAGAAGGGCTAGGTCATCTGCCCACTGTACTGTGTTTTTCTTAAGATGTGGAGGTCTCTTAATTCAGTCAACAACCAAGAGAAAGAGGAAAGATGAAAGTAGACAGCTTTTATTGTTCCCAGTCTTCATTTGGAATACATATGTGAGCTGTCTTCCATGCAGGACTTCTCAATTCAGTCCCTTATATGAATTCCGTATGTTAGTGACCATTGTCCCAGGTACTCCATATTGTCGGAGGTTTCAAAAGGCTTTCCCATCGACACTGTAGAGTGCATCCCCCATAGTTAAGGAAGTTGACATAGTGACGATTTTCGTTAAATTGATTGCTCAACAATGACCCACAGTGTTGAGGTTAGGTCTGTACATGACCAATCCTTACGAAATACTGTTGATTTAGAAGTTGAACGTCTATTGAAACTGTACCTGTAGTTCTCACACCCACCAAGATTTCCTTTCTTCGATTCTTTGATGGGGTATCCTTCTTTCCTCCCAAATCTCCCTAAACAGAACGCTGAACATCTTTACAGTTGCTGCTATATTTGACTCCAGTGCCTCGTCTGGAATGCCATCTGATCCAACTGCTGCTGGTCTATTCAGTGTGCTCTGTTCACCTGTTTCATTGCTCTTGGTTCTCGATGGTTGGTTTGCCTTTGTTCTTGATTGGTCGATCTGTTTTATTACACTTCTCTGCTGGCTTATTGGTTGTATCACATCGTCCTTTGATATTTCGTTCTAGTACAGCTTTTCTACTCTCGTTGCGTGGTCTTGTATATGGTTTTGCTTGTCAGTTTTGGTGTTCTTTACTTGTTAGCTAGTTTTGGTCTATGCTATGCCTTGACTTTCGTTCGACTGTAGTTAACTGCTTCTTTGTTTATCCTTTCTTGAATATTGCCCAGACTGCCTACAGATATCCACTCCTTATATTGACGCTTCTTGAGGCATTACACAGGTCATGTTAAAGCTATTGCTTCTTTTATCCCTTTCAAGATTTTTTCCATGATAGTTTCTTCTTATGGTAGATCTTGTAAAGCCTAAAACTTGTTACTCAGATACATCTCGATATCACTGAGCTTATTAGCATCTGGATGGAAGATTGTTTTAAAATTTATTAGTGCTGCTTGTCAATTTCTTTTTTTATGTTTTCAATGGACCTCCTTCGTTTTTTTGTTGATCCAGATGTGGTCGATCTGTTGGTGTGATCCGGTGAATCCCATGGATTTGTGAAGGGAAGTGGTGCAATCTATAACCATGTTCCTCATAATAAATACATATGTCAGTCTCTCATCATTCTCATTCCTTTCTTCCAGTCCGTTTTGCCTTATGATGTGTTCGTACTCGATATAGTCTATTCTGACTTTGGGGTTTCAGGTCCCTCGAGAAGATAGTTAGGCTTTTTCCTGGACATTTCTTTGGGATGGACTGTATTCTCTGATAGAACAGGTCTTCATCATCTTTACTGACATCATTAATGGGTGTGTATCAATGGGCAATATTCATTGCAATGTTTTCTTTTTTTGCTTTGGAGGATGTTTCGATAATCCTGTCGCCTTGTGCCTCTCATCTTATAGGCGTTTTTCGTGTTTTTCTGGACGGCATCAGTGCAACTCGTTGTGTATGTGTTTTGTTCTCTCCCATGTGTCCACAATGCAATAACAGTTCTCTTGAAATGTAATGTTTCTTGTCCAGATTGTATACTTTGGGTTTCACTTATCTATGTTGTGTTCTGATTTCCATTAGTGCATCGATCTCTCGGCTTGTAAAGATTCTGTTCTTGTGAACATAATGTATGATAACTCTTTCTCATGAAGATCTTCGATTCATTGAACTTAGTTTGATTGTTTTTCTTTGTTTAGCATTTCTGTGACAGAGTTTCTCTTTCTGAGGTGGGGCTGATAACTTTATGCTAAACCCTCCTTTGCATGGGCTTGTGACTGAAATTAACCCCAAAGGGTTTCAGATAGTGTTTAGGATCCACAAATGATGAGTTATTCTTAATAGAGAAGAGTAAAAAACGGTCGTCCTTTAGGTTAAACGTTGATTACTAGCATTCATTAGATTTAATTATGTTTGTTAATCCTAAACTTTTCATCTACTATGATAGCAATTGTTTCCAAGCGTCTGTAGCATGGGATTAATAGGTTGAAAGAAACCCAAACAAATAAATAGGATTGGTATATGAACTGATTGATTATTTGACTCAGTTTAGGTAATTGCGAATTTCTTTGGTATGAACAACAGTCAAAATTTCATGATTGAGTACGTGGTTTGATATGACCCAAACTCAGTCATAACAACTCAGTTGGATTCATTCTGTTTTATTTTGCTCTAAACATTTGACTTGATTTTATTTCTTACTTTTGATTCTCCTACGTTATTGGTTCTTTTGGGAATAAAGTTCTTACATTTAGCTTCCTGTTGTAGTTGATATTATCATTCTAGTCTCATTATATTCATTTGTTCTCATTGTGCTAATATACCAACTTATATCTGTATTTATTTGCACGGGATTCTATACTGTCGTCTATGAATTTGTAATATAGTTTATATTTCCAACTAATCTTAGACTATTGTTTAAAATTGGGAATCACTGGACAGCTGTTTCATCCTAGTGTAAGACTCCTAGACAATGCGCATCCACAATCTCACAGATCGAACCGAAAATCTCCAGATCTCACAACGAGCGCTTAGCCTTTAAACCAATGATTTGGCATGCGATGGCGTAAGTGTCTAACTTTAATCTATTCACGACATTACGCACCCTCTTTCAATGCTATTAATGGGTTTTGCCTCATGTCCGATATGTTTAGATTCCACTAGTCACAGCTTTTCATTAAAACTTCAGGAATTAACTCTCGAATTTGTGATACATAGTTTATTATCATATAAATTTGCAAATGTAGTATTTAAATCTTGCGAATACAGTTCATGCAAAACATATTGTGTATGATTTGACTTAAATGTACATTGATTAGAGCTGCCACACTCTACAGCAGCAGAGCGACAGACGAATTTAATACTGAAATTCGAAACAGTAGAAGTAATAGGGGAGTATCGACAAGTCTGATTTAATGAAATGTAATGTTACCTAAGATTTTTGACCTTGGTATGCGATTATATCATAAAACCTTATCAGGAAGTATACACGTTACATGTTTTCGTCCAGTAGAACTGGTTTATGTTTAGTTCCCATAAATTTGTTTTAGGTATTTGCCCTCTAACTTTTTGAATTGTTAAATGTAACGATTGATGTGCACACTTGGTATTAATCATTCTTACCGTTGATTTCGTTCGATTTATTTGGTCAATTTATGTTAATCTCGATACACTTGTTTATTTTGTCAATCTCTTTTTTGCTGAAAAAATAGATCTGATTTAGATACTATGAGCTCAGGTGAAGTTGTACCAAATCATTCAGATGTCAGTTCTCTTCCATCCCAGCCAATTGGTCTTGCAGGTATATTGTGCGTTATACGCTTTCTATCTACACAATTTCTGTTTACTAATCTAAGTACTTTATCGAGGTAGATTAAAGTGTTTTTTAGTTCGGAATTATGATAAATGCTGAACGAGTGTAGAATTATTAAAGTGAAATGAATACAATATTGATCGATAGGTGAACATAATGATACAAATTAGCTGGGTTATGTCTGTTTACAGCACTGGATTATCGACTCAAGCCAACAAATGAACTAACATCAACGACAAGACCACTCACCAGAAGTATAGGTTTTCTTCACCTAGCGAAATAATATACTTCTACTTAAATGACTGAACACTCCTCTCTTACTCTTTGGTGAATTAAGACCTGATTGGTGGTTTTATTTCTTGCTCATCATGTTAGACAGGGTAAAATACAACAGGATGATTCAGTTATGATTTATCATATAATTGAAACGACGGGCACCAGATGAAAGTAACTGGTAAATTTCTGAGTGATAATGGGCTTTATTTTCTTCCTTCAATAACCCCTCTGAAAAGCTTCATTCTGTTAGTCGTCTAATAGGACGACTTTTTTCGCAAAGGTTCTGTATTCGTTTAAATCACTTTTGATCATGAAAGTGTTTTCCTAGCAGTAGTAAAACTGCGATGGTTTAGTCATTTTATCCGTTTACTTCTATCAGTTTAAATGTATTCAAAAAAAACAGAATTGTCAATCATTTATATTTTATGATCAAATAATTGTTCTCTGTATTTATGCAATAAATAATTATGAGGATCTAATCGAAATCAATATTGTTCACTTATATATTGTTGTTTCCAAATTACAATATGGGAATTTTTCAAATTTTAAATAATAATTGTTTCACTGTCTACGAGCTTTTATATGTATTTCTCAAAGTCAACGAAGTAGAAAATCGACTAGCTGTTTATTGATAATGCAATTTAGCGATTATGCTATATTGTAAGTAAACTAGGATTTCAAATGTGAGTAGAACTCACTATTTGAGTGGTATTAGTTTCAGTGGAACTTTTTAAATATTTGTCATCACAAAAATAAGATTTATACAAATTTTTTTCGGTTCGACGGCGATTTTCATTAGGTATCTGGAGAACCATTGAAATCTAGGGTCGTCTGAATACCTATTTTTTATACTAGTTAAGGGACTCTACATCAGTGGGCTTCTAATACCCTATATCCAGTCAGGTCAAAAACTTTATGTTTCTCGACGAACACGATGCCTTTAGGACGGTTCTTGTGGAAAGTCGTGATTGGTGAATTTCATCCATGCGTTTTGTAAGATAGTTTTCATCGAATGTTGTTGCAATCTATCGGATACTGAATAGAGTTAGAAATATGAACCATCTGACTGTAACCCACTGACCTAAAGGTATTACTTTTACCAAAGTACTGGAGGGTCCGCAATTCGATTCCCCGCAGGTTCGTATATGTGCATTGTTGAAACAACTATCCATTACTTTATGATTTTCAGTTTGTGATAAAAACTATCTCAAAACTGAACTGATCTTCACAACCAACCAATTCATTTTTTAGAATTATAACCGTAAACGCGTCCACATTATATATATAATCTTTAAATTTACATAATTAATTTTTTTCTTTATTTCTAGTTCACAACAAAGAATCAAATATTTTAGGCATTGATTATCTAACTGATACTCAACAATTGATAACAGAACCAACAGATCTAAGTTTAGCTATGCTGTGTCACAGAATCAGTCGTTTACAGACCGAAGCAGAAGCTGTGGCTAAAGCAATCTCAGTTAATAATCATAACAATAATGCTTGTATCAGAAATAAACAATCTACGAATAATTTACCGATTATCAATCAACAGTTTGCTAGTCCAGTAGATGAAGCACAATCACTCCGAACCGATTCAAATAGTCGTACAATGAATGAAATACAGATTCGTCATTCACCGGGAAAATCTGATGAAGGTCTCGGTAGATCAGTCAGTAAAAATGAACAGCCAAGTCAATTAGACAATGGTGCTAATAATAATATTTATGATCAAGGCGATACTTGAAATAATCATATAAGTGAAAAAGTAATGGTTGAGTAAGCTGGTATTTCGATTTCTCACATATATTTGTTTACATAATTATATACACCTCGCAAATTGATTTTGATTGTGAACCGTTGGGTTTCGAGTCAATAATCTAAAGATGACAATCCTTTTGATATGAGGTTCGACTCCCGTTGTGACGTCATAGGTATATAATCAAAGGGTCTTAGACTAAGACGAATCAGATGTGCAGTGCTTTTGCTTCAAATGAGTCCTAGTTACTATCAGTTCATAGCGGAATGAAAAGTTAATATGTGCATCACTAACTGGAGTATTTAAAATCAGGATATAGAGCACCAGTACAGTAATTCATTCTTTGATGGTAATGAACTTTTCGAATATGCTCCCTGTTCTCCATATACACAGGTTTATCTCACTGGTTACCATTCTTTTTAGTCTTAGGTATTTGTTTAATATAGATTTTAAATACGGAACAGCTTTTGGATCTTGAATCGAGTTTGGGTTGTCAGAAGACAGAACCTTGCCAATTAATTTAAATAAAACATGACTGAAGATTAATGGACCGCTACGAGTATTTTATCTCTCGGACGATTTGGAGCGAATTTCAAATGAGACAATATGAGTTTGGATGAATTTCGTGCTAAAATGAAGAAGAAATAGTAGTTAATCGAGCTTTGCCTTATTTTTTCCTTATTTTAGCGTATATGTGTACTAACAATGTTGTATGTAAATTCACTATCTATTATTTCTTTGTTTACCTTTCATTATCTCCCGGTAGATGAATTAATACTCGATCTAGATGAACAATGACAGATTTTGGATTTTCTTTTGACTGTGTTCAGTGCACTATCCATACAACAGCGGCCAAAAACAGAATTACACACAAATATTATCATCAATATGATTTATTATTATGTTTCAGTCTAACATAAACCTCTTCTGACAACTGTGTGCTGGCAAATGATTTGCTGGAACAGTTCGCTTTCCATTGTTCATATTTGATCTTATGCAGTAAATGTTCTTTGCATAAATGCTATCACCATTATGGTGTTCTGATATGGATAGTTGTAGGATTCAGGTTAACTATATTTATTTTGGCTTTTTCTCTCGGTCTATCGATCCTTTTGATATTTCACAAAAAAACTTTTGACAATAATAACTTCAATGACGTGCGTTTATACCTGTGTTCAAACAATTGTCATGTTTTTCTTTAACCAATTTAAATTGTTAACTTTTGTGTATCTAATCCGTTATCATGATTTCAGCCCATCATAAAAATAGGCATGACTCAACGTACTCAGTTAAAAAAAGACCTTTGAGTGTAGTGCTCGATATAGGGTTTGGAATAAGGCGAACGAACTATATTCAACCGAATCCCCACATCATGAAGTCACATGTGCTTGTTAATTTCATATATATATATATATATATATATATATATCGTTCGATCAGAGAACCCACCAAAGACGGAATGCCTTAGTGACTAAAGAAAAGCTGTATTAGTCAAATGTTCTGTAGAAAGTGTCTTAAGTCCCCACCCTCTAGCTGAAACTGAAATAATGAGCGGAACAAGCAATGTCTAAACTTATTATGGTAAACAGTAAATTTGTTCAAATGAGGCATATGTCTACTTAGTACAAGTCAGAGATATTCTCGTAAACATAACCTAAGAAACCATATTATGCAACAACGTTGTTCAGCTGTTAGCGCAATGACCTTCCGCTTAAAAACCTTGAGCATCTAAATAACCGTGAGTCTCAAAATAGATGACCTTCTTCGTTATCTGAAGCAAACCTAATACGACAAAAAACTAATAATAGTAGCGTATTTGCTGATTAACAAACAGTGATTCAAAAAAATTAACTTTTTCAAAAGCTTTGTGAATCAACGAAACTCCTCAAATCTTGTTTATACGACAAGACTAATTTTAGAAACTTCAAGCGGAATGGCTTAGCTGCAATAAGAGATAATAATTGTAATAGTTAACAAACCGATCAGTCAGTAACTGTTTACGATTAGAAGTGATCAGGGTCGCTGAAGTCACGAAACGCTTTGAACCAAGTAAAAAGTCCAGCGCTAACCTCGTGAACACTAGGAATCACTTATGTTTGTAAAATTCATAATCACTAATAAAACTATTCAGACAACTCTATGAAAACCAAAATGTTTCTCTAAAAGTACTATGTCGAATGACCCTCAAAGATAAAAAATATTGTGCGTTAGTCATGAGAACAACGGAATCACACATAAGCACCCGTGAGAACCATCCCACTCACCATGTTCAACTAACCACCGGACGTTGGATGTGAAACACACGCTTAAACACGTAACAGGACGTCCATAAAAAGACAACGAGAACCCCGTGGTTGTGGACCTCTAGTAATTGGTATTGCACTCGATTCTACCGGAGACCAAAGTTTGTGCTATCGTGGGAGAACTTACTATTCTCCCGAATCCTATATGATAAATGTCGTGCTAATTTTTCGGAAATTGACGCGACTTCAACATCTTCCTGGATTCCTATCCAATCTATCCTTTTTCAAAGGGATAGAGGAAACAGTGAACTGCCGACTCAGGCTGTAGTGGGATAATTCCACCAAATCCTAAGTCCCGCGGAATCAAAGGTAGCCGATGTTGAGATAAGAGCATTTTATAGTATATAAAGCCGGAAAATCGTACGTTTTAACACTAACTCACTATCCCCTTAACCACAAATGTGGGGCTATTCTCTTAGGGAGTGAAGAGCATCACTAGGCTCATAATCTTCTCTCAGAAAACCACAGCCCAAATTTCATTAGCATTCAAACGACCTGCTTATACCGCAGTACCGACGTACGGCAAATCAGGTCAGCGATTTGAAGCACTCTCATATCTATCGGTTAGTCACATGTGTGATCGGAACTCTTGAAACACTATACTACATGCGAACTCTATCTTCCCTATGAAGGTCGGTCGGCAAAACATAGACACCGCGTACATGCCTTGTGGGAGAACATGCGCCATGACTTTGCGTTTATTTCGGTTCATCTGACACGACATCTAGGTACCCTAATTGTGTATTAGTGGCGACCCTGGGTGACATTCTGAATAATTCAAAAATAGGACAGATGCACTAATTTGCCTGACTCCCGAGCCATATCACCTGTAATTTAGAGGTAATTAATTATCATTATCACAGTAAGTAGACGGACAATTTCCAACCACTAATTATAACATTGTTGGCTTATTCGCATTCGATGAGTTGCTCGAGAGGAACCAGTACACGACAAAATGAGCTTCAGGTCAGTCACCATCTCGAAAGTCCTGACAAAAAAAATACGTTTTATAAGCGGAGCCTGGTTAAGACACTAATACCCAACCCTTCTTCCATATAAATATATATATATATGGTTGGAATCGACTTATTCCAGCATGACCTCAACTCTGTCCCGCTACTTTACCTCACTGTGTTCTGTAAAAAACCGCGTATGAAGTGAAGTGTATATTAGACTACAACATTAATGAATTTCCAACATGAATATTTTAATGTTTAAAGTCATATGTACGTTAATAAAAGTATTTGCACGACGCACCAGTAAGGAATCCCTGAAAAATACCAGGATATTTAGTCCTCATCTGAAGAGGACGACTCCGAAGGGCTGGCATTTCCTGGACGGTGAATTACGGCTGATGTTATTCGGGGTCCTTTTGAGCTGCCGTACCCACGAACTGGCTCTCCTCTGGCTGGGCTGCGATCTCGTCTTTGATCTGTTCGTTCGAAGCGGTCATTTCTACCAAACTCGCGTGACCCGCCTCGATTAGCTGGAGCACCTTGGAAACGGTTTACATCTCTTTCGCCTCTGCCTGAATTGTAGTCGAACTGCCTACCTGAAACCACAAAAAGAAAATAGTTACCCTGCCTGTCACACTGAAACAACTAAACCAGTTAGTTGCCTGACAAAATAAACTTACCTTGTCTGTTGTAGTCACGTTGACCACTATAATCACGCTGATTGTACTCACGTTGATTGCCATCTCTCTGGTTACCGTTTTCACGCTGGTTGGTGTGATCTCGATTATTGAAATTACGCTGATTGTAGTCGCGTTGATTACGTTGACCGTATTCTCTTTGGTCACGATTATAAGGGCGCTGATTGTTATAACTCGGTTGTTGATTGTGCTCCTGGTCTATAATGAACATCACATACAATTTATGGGCAATCCTTTACCTCTCTGGATTCGTCCACGTACAGGCCTACCGCCCATCATCTTATTTCCGCAGGAAGTAAGAGCGGCGCTGCACTGGTCGGAATTCGAGAAAGTCACGTGAGCAACGCTACAAACAAATGAAAGTTCAAAAATAAAATTTACCCTCTGGAACGTCCCTGCTCGTCTAACGAAAGTGCCACTCGGAGGGCTTCTGGGAACTCGCGCATAATATCTCTTTCAGATGCTGTATAGGGAAGATTTGACACGGTGAGTGTACAAGAGGCGTTGGAAGAACTTTCACTATCAGTTCTACTATGCGGATCATACGTGGGCTGGCTGTACTCATTATCGGCATGTGAACGTCTGAAATCCCTGGAATTGCCTCCATAATGCTGGCTGACATTTAAATTTTCTGACGAACTGGAATGATAATCTGAAATATATAAACTGAGTGATTATTAAAGAGCTTTTGAAATAAGTCCAGTGATTGTACGAGTTTTAATGACCAACTCACCTCCGTTCAGTTCCGCATGCAGCAGCTGTCCACCAATTTCTTTTCCTTGAAGACATTCATCGTAGGCTTGTTGACAGTCGCGAGCATTGTTGAATTGCAAGATGCACATGCTGTTTCACATATGAAACAGAAAAAGAGAGCAAATATGGAGCGATCAATGGGAAGCGAATAAGCTTTACTAAAGACCCCGTAGGCAGATCTTTCGAGTAACAAATTTCTACCTCCATCGAAAGTGTTCGGGTCGACCTTCCTGCATTTCACTCCATCGCAAATAGTACCACCTGCTCACATTACAGGAATGGGTC